GCCTTTACATAGTTTGGCCCTCTAGCTTCCGTATTTAAGCAAAACTAACAAGTACAGACAACGTTAAGCAAATATCTCACATTAAAAAAAAATATTTTACATTGTGTTTGGCAGATTGTGGCATGTGTATATATGTATAAAGTTATAAATTATAAATAAATTATTCAATTATTAACAGGAAAAGTGTATTATCCTTTTGGTTATCAGCTGTTTTAAAATAATTCTGTCTTTGCAGTCTTACCATTAATAACCCTCATATTAAGATTTTACCTTGAAACATTCCCTACAAGTTTCTTTATTCTATTATGTTATGTCTATTTGCATGGAACTTTGTCTGCCAATTATGAATTAAAATTGACAAATCTAAGTTATTTAAGTCGTTCATAATGATGAGTCCATTTTTAATATAAAGATTTGATCTGTGCTTTATTTGAATTTAAATAAATCTCTAGTCAAACCATTAAGTGAGTCATTTCAGTAACAATCATGTTTTAATATTGATTGAAACAATTGTGATCACTATTCTACTCAAAAAATAGTTTTTGTGTGTCTTTTCTTTCTCTAAAGAACATTAAAAGGAAATAGAATTTTAAAAATGTTCGAAAATCATATACAGAAATATCCAATATAATACCTTTTCCTGTCTGTATTGAGAGAACAGGAAAAGTAACTGAACATCAGGAAACAACTCTTTACAGATGACCAAATACTGGAGCAGGTTGCCCAGAGAGGTTGTGGAATCTCCCTCTTGGAGATCTTCAAAAGCCCCATGGGAGAGTTCAGTGACACTCTTTTGCTTCATTCATTCTTCAGTGTCAGACGTGAATCTGTCAGACTTCCCCATTGCTGCCATCTGTCATGCCGCAACAAAATATAATGGAATATTGGTGGGAAGGTTCAGCCTCTACTACCAAACCACCAACATCTGCCTCTGGCATCGTGGTCTACATCATAAAACAGGAGGGATTGCTTTCAGAGCAGCTCCTGTGTAGCAGAGAATGTGTAGCACAAGAGAATATTTTATAAAGCAGGCATGAACACTTCTTCCATCAGACCATCACCAGAGAAGTAGGAAGAACAAAGTGAACACTGCATAACCTACATCAAGTTTATCTAGATCAAGAGAAGTAAGTTACAGACTGTCAGCCCTCAACAACAACTTCTGTTATTAAAAGAATTTTATGGCTTCAAGCTGTGTGTCACCAGATCAATCTATGTCCGTGACAGAGGCAACAGGCCTCTGCCCTCCCCCCCCAGCCCAGTCCCACAAAAAATGGGAAGGAAGGAAGGGAGGAAAAGAACAGCAGCAACAATCTATGGAGGAAAACTTATTTTACTATAATATTGGAATACAAGATAACACAATATGTACAATTTAATTGAAATTGAAATTAATAAATCAGAAAAAAAAGATGAGAGAGAGAGTTCCTGGGACCGAGTCAAACCTGAAAAGCTTGGAGCGGATAGGAAAGCACCTCCAGCACCCACTGCAAGGCAGCAAGAGAGCGCCCCCCCCACCCGGAAGGGCCAGATCCCGTGACTGCTGTAATGTACAGGGATAGGTACCTGGGATGGGGAATTAACACTTTACACTACATGATGTTTTGATGTGGAATACTGAAACCCCAAAACAAAAGAAAACATAGAACCATGACATTCCACCCCTTATTCTACATCATTACATCATGCTTAAAATATTTGTACATATATACAAACAAACAAAAAATGATTAAAATGCATTACTCACACATGGCTCTATATATATATATATACATACATGGAATTACTAACTGCATTCCCCGGCATCAAGTTTCCTTGTGGTACACATTGGACATCCCCATTCTTTTGCATTACCCACCAAGTGGACCCTGGTCCCTGGGCAAAAACTGTACCACGGAGAGGTTTGCCCTTTCCAGAAGCTGGAAGAACCCAAACTGCCTTTCCTAACATGTTCTTTACATGTACAGTGGGGACTTTATCTCCCTCTACAGTATGTAGGGAACTGGATTGGTTAGGACCATCACGATTGATAGATCCTCTGGTATTGACTAACCAGGTGGCTTCTGCCAAATGCTTCTCCCAGTGCTTAAATGTTCTGCCACCCAGTGCTTTTAGCATCGTTTTTAACAACCCATTGTATCGTTCAATTTTACCAGAGGCTGGTGCATGATAGGGAATATGGTAAATCCACTCAATGCCATGATCTTTGGCCCAAGTATTTACAAGAGAATTTTTGAAATGAGTCCCATTATCTGACTCAATCCTTTCTGGGGTGCCACGTTGCCACAGGACTTGTTTCTCGAGACCCAGTATGGTGTTTCGGGCGGTAGCATGGGGTACTGCATATGTTTCAAGCCACCCAGTGGTTGCCTCCACCATGGTGAGCACATAATGCTTACCATTGCGAGATCGTGGCAAGGTGATATAATCAACCTGCCATGCCTCCCCATATTTGTACTTTTGCCATCACCCTTCCTCCCAGAGAGGTTTCATCCTTGTTTGATGATGGCACGTTTCACAGTTGTGAATAACCTGTGCAATGGCATGCATAGTTAAGTCCACCCCTTGGTCTCTAGCCCATTTGTATGTTGCATCTCTCCCTTGATGACGTGAGGTCTCATGGGCCCACCGAGCTAGAAATAATTCACTCTTGTTCTGCCAGTCCAGGTCTATTTGAGCCACCTTAATTTTGGCAGCTCGATCTACCTGATGGTTACTTTGCTGTTCTTCAGTAGCCCGACTCTTGGGCACATGAGCATCTACATGGCGCACTTTTACAACCATAGTCTTTGTTTGGGCAGCAATGTCTTTCCACAGTTCAGCAGCCCAAATAGGTTTACCCCTTCTTTGCCAGTTATTTTGCTCCCACTGCTGTAGCCACCCCCATAACGTATTTGCTACCATTCATGAGTCAGTGTAAAGATAGAGCATTGGCCACCTCTCCCACACAGCAACATCTAAGGCCAGTTGGACAGCCTTTACCTCTGCAAATTGGCTTGATTCTCCTTTCCCTTCAGTTGCCTCTGCAACTTGTTGTGTGGGGCAGCTTTCCATCTGCGATGCTTTCCCACAATATGACACGATCCATCTGTGAACAGGGCATACTTCCTTTCATTCTCTGATAGTTCATTGTATGGTGGGGCTTCTTTAGCACGTGATACTTCTTCTCCTGGTGATGTTCTAAACTTTTTACCTTCAGGCCAGTCCATGATCACCTCTAGGATTGAGGTTCCCCATCCGTGCTCGTTGTGTAATCAGTGCAATCCACTTACTCCAAGTGGCATCAGTAGCATGATGGGTGGAGGGAACCTTTCCTTTAAACATCCAGTTCAGCACTGGCAGTCGAGGTGCCAGAAGAAGCTATGTTTCAGTACCGATTACTTCAGAAGCAGCCCGAACCCCCTCATACGCGGCTAAGATCTCCTTCTCAGTTGGAGTGTAGCCCTCCTCTGACCCCCTGTAGGCTCGACTCCAGAATCCCAGGAGTCAGCCTCGGGTCTCTCCTGAGGCTCTTTGCCACAAACTCCAAGTGGGACCGTTCTCTCCAGCAGCAGTGTAGAGGATGTTCTTTATACCCTGTCCTGTCTATACTGGCCCTAGGGCCACGGCACGGGCTATCTCCTGTTTAATCTGTTCAAAAGCCTGCTGCTGCTCAGGGCCCCATGTAAACTCATTTCTCATTCGCGTCACATGATAAAGGGGGCTTACAATGAGGCTGTAGTTTGGAACATGCATTCTCCAAAAGCCCACTACACCCAGAAAAGATTGTGTCTCTCTCTTGCTAGTGGGTGGAGACATGGCAGTGATTTTGTCGATCACATCTGTTGGGATGTGATAACTTCCATCTTGCCACTTTATACCTAGGAACTGAATCTCCTGGGCAGGTCCTTTCACTTTGCTTCGCTTAATAGCAAAACCAGCACTCAGAAGAATTTGGATTATTCGCTCTCTTTTCTCAAGGACTTCTGCTGTATCGCCCCACACAATGATATCATCAATGTACTGCAGGTGCTCAGGAGCACTGCCCTGTTCCAATACAGTTTGGATCAACCCATGACAAATGGTCGGGCTGTGTTTCCACCCCAGGGGCAAACGGTTCCAGGTATACTGAACGCCCCTCCAGGTGAAAGCAAACTGTGGCTTACATTCTTTGGCCAAAGGAATGGAAAAGAAGGCATTAGCAATGTCAGTGGTGGCATACCATTTGGCCGCTTTTGACTCCAGTTCATACTGGAGTTCTAACATGTCTGGCACAGCAGCACTCAGAGGGGGTGTGACTTCATTCAGGCCACGGTAGTCCACCGTCAGCCTCCATTCTCCACTGGCTTTACGCACTGGCCATATGGGGCTGTTAAAAGGCAAGTGAGTTTTGGTGATCACTCCCTGGCTCTCTAGTTGACGAATTAACTTATGAATGGGGAGCAAGGAATCCCTGTTGGTGTGGTACTGCTGCCTGTGCACCGTTTTTGTAGCAATTGGTACCTGTTGCTCTTTTACTCGCAGCAGCCCCATAACAGAAGGATCTTCTGACAGGCCAGGCAAAACAGACAGCTGCTTAATGTTGTCTGTGTCCACAGCAGCTATTCCAAAGGCCCATCAATACCCCTTAGGATCCTTGAAATGCCCCCTTCTGAGATAATCAATACCTAGTATACATGGAGCCCCTGGGCCCGTCACAATAGGATGTTTTTGCCAGTCCTTACCAGTGAGGCTTATCTCAGCCTCCAACACAGTCAATTCTTGAGAGCCCCCGGTCACTCCAGAAATATGGATTGATTCTGTCCCTTCATGACTCGAGGACAACAGAGTGCACTGTGCACCAGTGTCCACCAGTGCCTTATATTTCAGTGGTTCTGATGTGCCAGGCCATAAAATCCACACAGTCCAATATACTCTATTATCCCTTTCCCCCCCCGACTGAGGGCAGGGCCCCTCTATTCATTACCTGTGGTAACTGGAGCAACTGCACTGGTGGTTGATCTGCCTTGTAATTCTTTCACCCGAGCTCGTAGTACAGGAGTAGGTTGACCGTGCCACTTCCTCATGTCTTCTCCATGATCACGTAGGTAATACCATAAGACAATTTGCGGTGTATTATCCCTTACTTGAGCCGGAAAGCATTTGCCTCTAACAGCTGAGATTTTTGATGGTGCACATGAGAAGGAAGGTTTATCCTCTTTATTTAGGTGGACTCGCACAAATTTCATCATCTCCTTCATGAGACTCTTTTGATTATCCTGATCTTCATCAAGCGTCTCTGATACTGCTACAGGTTTGTCATGGTTAATCAGCTGAGACATTTGTTCCCGTGTTTCATTCAGTTGGTCTGTCATTTTTGAAACAGCAGCAACTGCAGCATGAATTGGGGATAGCAATTGTTCATAGTTTTGGAGCGTAAGAAATAATTCATAAACTAAGAGTGTTCTCTGTTGTTCCTTGTATCTGTTACACGCTGACGTTAGTGTAGCAGCATATTTGTCCGGCGCTGCTGTCACGATTTTCTGCCATATCTCAGGAGTCGTCCTCACTTTTTCAGGGTCGTGGTCTTGGCATGGGTGGTTAGGAACAAAGTCAGGGTCATACAACATTTCCACCATGCCTATTTCCCTCAAATACTGGATACCCTTTTCAACTGTAACCCATTTTTTCATCGCAATCCTTAAGCCGTTTTTGAAGGGATACTTTTCCTTCACGGCTGTTAACACTTGTTCCCAGAGGGTGGCAGCCTCATCCGAACATCGACTAATTCCTCTATCAATAGCTGGATCTCTGGCAATGGCGCCTAGTTGGCGAGCTTCATTACTATCTAGAGACAAGCTATGGGCCCCACTGTCCCAACAGCGAACCAACCAGGAAACGAGAGTTTCATTCGGGCGCCGTGTAAACTCCTTTCTTGAACCTTGGATTTCAGTCATCTTTAGAGGCCGGCGAGTAGTAATAGAGACTTCCTCTTCATCACTCTCTTCTGCATGTCTCTTAGTTTTCCCTTTTGCCTTTCGCGATGGTGGTGGTTCTGAGGAGGGCCCCTCATCTGGATCTTCCTCCACCTCCTCCTCCTCCTCTTTTTCTCTTTTTCGTTCAAGACGCGAAGACACTCGTTTCCATTTCTTGCCCTCCACAGGAGCAACTGGTATTGTTACTGGTGTCTCCTTTAATTGATTAGATTTGACTTGGAGATTTTCCCCTTTGGCTTGAACCTTAGCTCAGAAACTCTCTCTCTCCAGAATGGTATTATATAGGGCACGGTAAGCACAAGCCAAACCCCAAATAAGTTGTACCTCCTTAGATTTATGTAAGCCGCATAGTCCCTGACTCAAATACTGGCTTAGTTTCTTGGGATCCCACAAGTGTTCAAGAGTAAAATCCCATGACACTGCGGGTCCCCATGCTTCTAAGACCTTTCCTAAACCTCTCCATATTCCCTGCCAGTCATCATTCTCTAATTTTGGAGGAGACTCCGTATTACGAATGCGATGGAGTACATTCAGGAAAATTAATGACATGCACATCAACATAAGTATTGATGACACGCACACCAACATGACCATTAATTCAAGATTCAAAAAACGTTTGACAAACCAAGAAGAAAACCCGGAGACTGGTCTGAACATCGTGTTGTTTGTAAAATTAGCTATTCCATTTGGGATGTAGTTGTTTGTGAAATTAGCCATTCCTTCTGGGATGTAAATGTCAAATTCAAATCATACCACATTGTAAATAGGTAAAACATAGGTGTCTCCATCAGTGCCCTTAGGTAGTTACATATGAATGCAATTCCACAACACACAAGTGTGAGATGGATTATTGGCCAGTAGGTTGTGAGTAACACCATTGCTTGTAATCCTTTACCCAGCACCCCCAGGATAACGAGTGGGTTCATTGCTGGTGCTTGCTAAAAAAAAGGGTTAATGAATTGAAGCTAACAAGAGGAGAAAAGAAAAAAAAAAAGTCACTACCCAGAGGAAGTAGTGCTCAAAGTTTACAAATATCCCAGAATACTGGCAGTACGCCTAATCTTTCAAGGTCAGGTTTTCCAGCACAGAAACCTGAACTACTGATAATGCACCTTAACAAAGCTCTCTAAGAGCAGAGAGAAAAAAAGATTCGTTCTAAAAGCTAAGAAGCAGCAATTTCCCAGCCAACGCGCCAAAAATCTGTCACGGAGTTGACTAGATCAATCTATGTCCGTGACAGGGGCAACAGGCCTCTGCCCTCCCCCCCCAGCCCAGTCCCACAAAAAATGGGAAGGAAGAAAGGAAGGGAGGAAAAGAACAGTGGCAACAATCTATGGAGGAAAACTTATTTTACTATAATATTGGAATACAAGATAACACAATATATACAATTTAATTGAAATTGAGATTAATAAATCAGACAAGATGAGAGAGAGAGAGTTCCCGGGACCGATTCAAACCTGAAAAGCTTGGAACAGCTAGGAAAGCACCTCCAGCACCCACTGCAAGGCAGCAAGAGAGCGCCCCCCCACCAGTAAGGGCCAGATCCCGTGACTGCTGTAATGTACAGGGATAGGTACCTGGAATTGGGCATTAACACTTTACACTACATGACGTTTTGATGTGGAATACTGAAACCCCAAAACAAAAGAAAACATAGAACCATGACACTGTGCCAGGGGAGATTTAGGCTGGACATTAGGAAATAGTACTTTTCTGAAAGAGTGGTCAAGCACTGGAATGGGCTGCCCAGGGAGGTGGTGGAGTCACCGACCCTGGAGATGTTCAAGGAACATTTGGATTTTGTGTTGAGGGACATGGTCTAGTGAGAACTATTGGTGATAGGTGTATGGTTGGACTGGATGATCTTGTAGGTCTTTTCCAACCTTGGTGTTTCTGTGATCCTGTGATTTTGTGATTCTGTGAAACAGGAACAATACCTTTCATTTTCCCGTTACACATAGTGCCTGAACTTGAAGTCAAAGTTGGTATTTAAAGAACTGCATGAGGTGGAGCAGATGAGAAATGCAGGAAAATACATTCTCAGCACAGTCTAGCATTGAAGAAACTTTCCTAATGGTGACAAAAGAGATCAGCAGTGATCCTTGTAGCCCATGTATCAAATGCAATATTAGTGCAGTACACTTTGCAGATATTTACATTGGTTGGACTCTGGGAGACAGGCTGCATTCTAAGACTGCCAGCAAAGGAGCAGCTAAGGAGTTGAATAGCTTCATTCATCTCCCTTTGCTGCTTTTACCAGCAAGAACAAACCCTGCAGCTATGAAACAAGCTCTGATACTGGAAAAAAACTGAACAGATTGTGACAGCAACTATACAAATTCAAGGTATTGCTGCCATGCATGAATGAGAGACTAAGTGCAAAAGCCAGCAGTCAGCATTACAAAGCAATATACACAATGCAGTTACATTTTGAAAGTGGCACAAAGCTGTATCTAAAGCAACACAGCAGCTGAAAGGTATGATTAGGGATGACATGCATATTATCAGAATCTGTATTGTTACAATCTCTTATAAAGACTACAAGAAGATCATCTTTCTTAATTTTAGTCAAGTAGGAGTGAAGGATTAGGAGGGGAAATCTATGTTTGTTTGTTTGTTTTTTGTTTTTTTCTTGTGACTGTTCCAGTAGACATAAAATGAGAATTAGGTTATCTGTGAAAGACTTGGTCATGGAACTGAACTAGCTGAGGCAGCAGCTTTTCAGTACCATGTGTCAAGATTTGGCCTTTGACATGATTTTAAAAACATGATAGGGTAGAAGTATTGCATTTTTGACTGAAGTACTCCATAGATATATGTCTCCATGAGATACAAGAATGGCCTAAGCCATGATCAACCTTATCAGGTGTATGTTCCCTGCAAACAAAAATAACAAACTTCTGTGATAGTCACATGACACTCTAGCTGTTAATCTTTTTAAGGCATATCAAAAATCTACTTCACTGATAATTTTTAATATAACTATAGTTTTCTCATAAGATAAATCACATCTGTATTCTGTACACTTCAGAACTGACATCCACAGAATATACTTTAAAAGTCAATATTACATTAAGAGCACTGGTCTGCAACCAGTGTCCTTGGTTTTCATTAAATATACATAAAAGACATACACAAAAATACCCCCAAACTATTCTATGATTATACGATTCTAAGAATGAAGAAATAACAAGAGCGTATCAGATCATAGTAAATCAGACTGATGAGCTCTCTATAATCAGTATATATTCTACACACTTACAGAATCATAGAATGGTTTGGATTGGGAGGGACTTTTTAAGATCATCTAGTTCCAACTCTCCTGCTGTGGGCAGGGACACCTCCCACTAGACCAAGTTGCTCAAAGCCCCATTCAGCCTGGCCTTGAATGCTTCCAGAGTGGGAGCACCTACAGCCTCTCTTGCCAACCTGTTCCAGTGTCTTACCACCCTCATAGTAAAGAATTTCTTCCTAATATCTAGTCTAAATCTACTCTCTTCCAGTTTAAAGTAATTTTACTTCATCCTGTTGCTACTTACTCTTCTAGAAAGTCCCTCCCCAGCTTTCCTGTAGGCCCCCTTCAAGTACTGGAAGGCCACTATAAGGTCTCCTCAGAGTCTTCTCCAAGGTGAAGAGCCCCAACTCTTTCAGCCTGTTCCCATAGGGCGGGTGCTCCAGCCATCTGATCATCTTCGTAGACCTCCTCTGGATCTGCTTGAACAGCTCCATGTCCTTCTTATGTTGAGGGCCCCAGAACTGGACGCAGTATTCCAGGTGGGGTCTCACAAGATCAGAGGGGCAGAATCGTCTCCCTCAGTCTCCTGGTCACACTTTTCTTGATGCAACCCTGGATACAGTTGGTCTTCCGGGCCGCAAGTGCAGACTGTTAACTCATTTTCAGTCTTTCATCCTTCTCCTTAGGGCTGCTTTCAAGCCATTCTCTGCGCAACCTGTATACACCCTTGGGATTGCTCTAACCTAGGTGCAGGAACTTACACTTAGCTTTTTTGAACTTCATAAGGTTGGTGTGGGCCCACCTGTCAAGCTTGCCAAGGCCCCTCTGGTTGGCATCCTTTCCCTCTACTGTGTTGACTGCACCTCTCAGTTTGGTGTCATCTGCAGACTTGCTGAGGGTGCATTCAATCCCACTGGTTCCAGCGTTGGTCCCTGAAGAACACCACTCATCACCACTGGTCTCCATTTGGTTGCTGTGCTGCTAAATGCAACTCTCTGAATGTGACCATCCAGCCAATTCCTCATCCAGTGAGTTGGTCTGTCCACCAAATCCATTTTTCTCCAACTTGGCAACCAGGATGTTGTGCAGGACAACGTCAAATGCTTTGCACTTTGTGCCATGTGACTCAGAGAAAGGTACAACAAGATAGATGGTTGTAAACTATGGATTCTTTTTCTTATTTTTATAAGTGAAGATTGATTTATGTCCAGAAAGTTTGAAATTTTGGTTCCTTTTAAAATCTTGCCTTTCTATAAATTTCACGTGTCACAGAGCTCTTATTAGCAATAGTAGTATTGGATTCTTTTAATGACAGCAATGTGTTTTAGTCATGTTATCTCTTAATGAGGAAAGTTTCTTGGTCAAATTATGTGCTCTAAATAGTCCATTTTCCATCTGGTTTTAATATGAGACTATTTCACAATCTCTGATCTTATCACTCTCACCTTTGAGCCCCACCTGTTTCTCTACTGTTCTTTCAGACACAGGGCAACATTTACTGAATGAAATGTTCCAGTGGAAGGCATGCTCTTGAATCCTGTATGATGCTATTAAAAATATCATAAGCACCATTCCTCACGAGCACGCTGTTTAGCTGACTGCTGGATGATCAACAGAGGCCTTCAATATATTTTTTAAAACAGAATATGATTAAGTTTTCAGACTGTAGTATTTATCTACTACCAAGTTACTGAAAATCCTATCAAAATAGCGTCCAATTGTTTCCTCCATATACTTCAGTTCAAACTGCATTATTAAGATGTGTTTCCCCCCATGTCTAGATGTTATCAATCTATTTGTTAACAGTTCCACCATTATTCTGGCATTTTATATTTTTATCTATTATCCTTTAGATTTTGATCCCTGATTCAAGTAAATCTGCTCTTCCACCGCACTTCAGGAAATCCAAAGTGTTTATGTCTAATGCTGGTATTTTTAATCCAGTGGCTTTAATTTC